GCATCATTGTGATCATATCAGTTGTTTTTATTCTCTCTTTGAGCCTTCTGTGGGCCATTTTCTAGTGCCTAGAATTACCTCACTTCCCTTTTAGTCAGTCCTTAAAACACTGCCTAAGCAATTATTTCTCTTCCTTTGGGGGAAAATTAGATTTATCTCTTTTCTGGGCATTTTGAAAGTTACAAGTTTTACTCACAGGGGTGTTTAAAAGAGTAAAGATTAAGTAAAGGCCCCCTTCTGACATATTGTAGGTCCTCACATGGAACTGGTTTGTTAATGTGCCATTGGTGGCTAATAGCTTTTCTGTCTTGAATAACTGATGTAATTTTTTGCCTCTGGTGAAACCCAAGCTGCAATTAAGACTAGATGGATTAGTCCCATTGCCAGTCTGATTAAAAGCGCAACCTGCAAAATAAACTGAGTCACTTACTTGGACAAATGAATCTGATGAACTGCAAATCCCTTGCTGGCTCTGATGGGAGGTGTAGTCCAACACATCTGGCAGGCATTGGGCTGCCATGATTGGGCTAGATAATTAGGAAGTTGATGACAGTGCTCCATTGGGGTAAGTGATGATGCAGCTTTGACAGCATGGCTCACTAGCTCTGCACCAAAGCAGAGGTAGCAACTCTAGCAACTGTCCATGTTTACCATGAACAGTCCTGAATTGTTTGTCCTTGGATCCTTGCCCATTTTTGATGCTTTAAAACAGCTTCTCTCAACCTGGAGCCCTCTCAAATGTTTTGGACTTCAAGTAAAACAGTAAAAAGCCAGACAACAACTATACTGTATCAACAAATGCTGCAGTACTGAGAGTGGTCATTTAGGGCTATAAACACTCAGGCAAGCAGTAGATTTTGTGTACTACCACTGTGCATGTTTGTGTAATGGGAGGCGGCAAGTTGGTGCCTGTGAACGTCTCCACTTGTGCTTGCAAGTTGCTCCTCTAGTTATCCAATTTGTTTGTTTAGTTTTTTAATTTGATGGCCAGCAATGCTTCATTGGCCTCCAGCTACCTGCCTTCTTGATTTCCCTGGTTTTCTCTGTGTCTCATGTACACCCAGAGACATCCTTAGGAAGCAAAGATGGTGGGCTGCTGAAGATTAGAGAAAAGGGAAGGAGGCAGGCAGAAATTGACTCCTGTGCTTTATCAGTAGGCAAAAACAGTAGGGAATCTAGAAGACAATGGGGGGTGACCCAGTGGAGCAGGAAGAAGATGCAGAAGGGCCTGAGCTGGGCTGGGAACGATGTAATAAGGTGCAAGGAGGAAGAGGATAGACTGGAGCTGCCATGTAGAGGGTTGCAGAGAGGGCTGAAGAAAGCCTCTAGGTCAACTCAGTGGGGAGAAAACAGAGTCACCAGTGTGAAATTAAAGTTTGTACCTGGCTGTGTCTACCATGACAGCCATCTTGTGCCAGGGCAACCCCCAATGGCTTTTTTCTATGGTGTCCATGGCACTTTTCTAAATCACTACTATGGCCACTCACCCAAAAAGGCCCCTTTAATGATATTTAATTTTATTTTTTTATGAACTGTTGTAAACCATTTAGAAAATGTCAGCAATTGGCTAGTACACAAATGAAATAAAGAATTGCATGGCCATGTGCCCCGAGGAGCCAGCATGTAATCTCTCATCCTGCACTTCCTGCACTGTTGATAACATTGTGTTTTCTGAGTAGGTTTTATAGACGTGCCCCTATTTTCATTGGTGCAGTGCTGAAGGTATGTTTCAGCAGACAGTTAATTAGGTTGCAGTCAGACCATACTAGTAAGCTTTCATGTTACAAACCTGCCTCTAGGGACAAAGGATTAAATGAAAAATAAATGTTCCCCATGGGAGATAACTGTTAGGTGTAGGGCATGACGATATCTTTATTTAGATGCACTTTCCTGGTGTCACAGTGCTCTTGGTGAGGTGACTAAGGCCAAAAGGCTTATACTGACAAAGCTGGAGGTTATTACAGAAAAAAATGCCAACTTCATAGCCTAGAGTTTTTCCGCATTCTAGATACCTCCTTCCTTGGTTGGCACTTTTGCAGCCAGTAAAAATTTTAATTGACACAGTGTTAGACTGAGATTGATAGACGTATCCCCGAAATAAAACCTGGGTTGGGGTGCTAGAAATGGGAGTGAAGAGATGGCTAGCTCTGCTCACCTACAAGTATGCCATCCTATCTCTCTTTACCACTATATGAATAGGAGAAATTTTTTGTTGCATCTTATGGTCTCAGTTTCTAGATGTTCTGCTGTTTAATAGTAGACAAAAGTATGGAGATGAAGGAGTTACTGATACAAGGCTTTAGCTTAGCTTTGTACACAACCAAAGTCAGGAAATACAAAGCCTGCCTTAAGTGCCAGCTGAACACTGTACTTCCCGGCTATGTTTGCTTCTCTGATTTTTTTTTTAAAGGTTGCATAGGACTGTGCTGTTCTCTAAGTAGCGAGAGACCAGTCTTCCTGTTTGCACATTTCATTTTGCCAACACTAATATTTCCTCCTTTGAAAGAGGTACTTTATATCTACCAAAGTGCTTTTCTAAAAGGCTCTGCTTCCTTCATTACTGTCTTGATGATGCTACCTCAGTTGTTAGTTTCAGTACTGATCTCTCTAGAAGGGCAAAACTCTGCTTGTACCTGAAGATATACCCCTTGGTTGTGACTGATACACTGAGCAAGCGCACATCATCTCGACAGCCATGGTGGGGTGGGAAGAGTGTCCGCCACCCATGGTGGTTGATCGTTGTGGCTTACTGTTCATCTGAAGGGTGGCTTATGTGAAGTTTAAACAATGTAATGGTGAAACAACCCTCAAATAAGCTATAAACTGATTTAGAGTTATGCAAGAGTTGTTCAGCCCTCATACAGGCAACCCTTGCTGGATTCTCATGGCACAATGAGCCATGGCAACCACTCCCTGTGCCTTTCGCATGTGCCACAATCCACCGTGGCTTAGATGAGCTAAGTGGGCTGCAGTGATCATGCAAACCAGCCCACTGTCAGTTTAAGCATGATTAGGAGATCTGGTTCCAAGAGCCTAGAAGTGAGCTTTGAGGTCTTAAAACCTGCAAGTTAGCAAGCAGTCTTGCATAGATTTTCGAGTTCATATATCTTCTGCATTTTGGCTCAAGCAGCCTTGCAGATCAATGCAGCAAATGTATCTGCTCTTAACATATTTTTTGCTGTTAAGTGCCTGTCAGAGCAGCATGGGGAACTTGTACAGCTTTTGTGCAACCTACCATGAGTTGCCTAGCGATTTTGCCAATTCGCCTTCCTTCCACCTTATTTCCAGGCTTGTGGCCTCAGAATCCAGCTTTTAACACTGCCGCCTCCTCTCCCACCAATCTCCTGCTGCCTCAAGTGGTCGTCCACCAGACCCTTTGGTACCGTGACTGCTGCTGCTTTCACTTGAGCCACTCCATTTCTTTGGTAATGTGGTGGCCACTAGTGTGGCCTCCTCAGCCACCACATGCTCAGGTCAAGACGGTGGCTTTTTAAGTGAGGCATTAAAGCTTCCATGGTGCTCTTTTCTCTTGCCTCTGAAGGACAAGAACAAGCTGCCTCCATTTATTCATCTATTTATTAATAATCCTTGAATGTATTGGAGGCTGAAGTGTTCCTGGTGGTGAATTTGTATTGAGGACGCTTTCATTTGTGGGAGATACTGTATGGAAGTTCTTCCTTCTGAAGCAATTGTGGAATGGTTTCTTAATGTTTGGGGAATGGTTGAGACAGATGTACTGCCTGGATTCCAACAACACAATAACCCCATCTCAAGAGTTGAGCATGGTTTTCAGGTGGGTTGTTGTTGAATTGTGGGTCATCCTCTTGTCTGAACCCAGCACGAGAAACACATAAAAGAGAACCTATGGCTTGTTGCTAGTTGTTATGATCTGTTATGAACTGTTGGTGGTTCACCAGAGTTTGCTATCTTGGCTGGGTTCAGACAACACACAGTTCAATGATACCTCACACTAGCCCTTCAGTGTTGGTAATTTGTGTTGTCTGATCCCAGTCATTATGTAGAAGTCATGACATACTCCTTCTAACAAATTTAGTCAGTGTATAATTGCTCTACTAGTTTGATCAAGGGCCTGGCTAGTTCAAATCCTGGTTTGGGCCAACCAGATGTCTGTGGGGAGCCCATGAGCAGGATGTGAGCTCACCAGTCTTCTCTGCTCTTCTTGGCCATTTTTTCCAGGGACATGCTGCCTTTGATCCCGGGGTTAGTACAAAACCATTGTGAGTAGTGGGCATTGTTACACATATCCTCCATGAATGTGCCTAATCCTCCATTAAAGCCATCTAAGCTAGGGACTGTCACCATTTATTGTGGCAACAAATTCAATGAGTCTAGGCACTTTTTTGTACTAGAACTCATAAATAACAATGGGAAGATGTGTGTTCTGTGAATTGCACTTGTGAAATAATAGCTGTAGTGGTTTTCATAGGGAAGGGAATCCTTTAAAATTTTTCTTCAATGGTTTTAATAAATTCTAGTATGTATTAGGTTTTCCTTCTTTCCTGTGGGGATTACCAGCTAATGCAGATGAAATTGTGTGTTTTTTCTAGGCAAGTGCTAGACAAGGAGATACCTGACAGTAGGAGGGGTGGTTTGGGAAATGAATTTCCTTTGTTTTAAAAATTGCTCTGGGTATAAAAGACTGGAAGCTATACTCTAGGAATATTGGAGTTTTCCTTCTGCTACTCTCCTTTCCTATCTCAGAGTAACCTTTATGTGAGGGCTGTGAAAGTGCTCTTCCAGTGACTTATGAGATACTTTCAGCTGAGTCACCAACCTAGAGTTTTAAACAAGACCATTCACAAATAACTGCTTTTTCTGTCTTGATGTACATTTCTCGTAGTACTACCTTATCTAACTATGCAACTAATTATAAGTTGGCCTTGGTGATCCAGGTTTTTTTTTTTTTTTTGAAGACCCTTTTTCTCTCAACTGAGAAAAATAATAAATCTCTCTTTTTCTTTTTCTTCCTACTCTTTCAGGCTCCAGACAAAAGGAAAGCATTAGAAGAGACCAAAGCATATACAACTCAATCTTTAGCCAGTGTTGCTTATCAGATCAATGCATTGGCCAACAATGTGCTCCAGCTACTGGATATCCAAGCATCCCAGCTCCGGAGAATGGAGTCCTCAATCAATCATATTTCCCAGGTAATCTTCCCTTGGAGGATGTTAAAATATTAAAGATGCATTTTTCTTGAGCAGCCTAAAGATGTAAAAGACTTTACATTCAGTGCCGAGCCATATTTTCTCCTCATGTGAGTAAGTGTCAGGCTGGATCTGCCCTCTTCATCACGCACACTCAGGATTCTCTTCTTGTTGTAGCAAAGCTTGGTTTGCAATGGCTTGCACCTCCTCTCCAGACCAGAATTCCAAATCATGGTCCACTGAGATCTGACATTCTGGTTTGGAGGACAAGTGAAAACAATGGTTTGTTCATTTTAGATGTGATGTAGTTGTTGTGGCAGCAAGCAAGGGAAGGATTAAGAGTGCATTTGTACAAAGATTGGCTTATAGCATGTCAAATGCAAGTAATGGTAAAGCAGTGACTTGGCATATTGTCTGAATAAACATGGTTCATGTGTTTGTGAAACAATTTTGTCAAAGGTTTCCCCTTTGGTAAAGCAAGACAGTTTTTGCAAATCCTGTCTTGGATTTGTATTACTTTATGCTTACAGCTCTGAGGAATTCTGAAGTTAAAACTGATGATAAGGTAAATGAAATGTATTTCTGACTTTTCTGAATTGGTAAATGAAGATGTAGCAATTTATTACTCAAAGTGCACTTTAAATTTTCATCTTTATGTGGAGTCTCAGCACACTATCTGGCAGGTTGGCCAGCCAGAAAAGATTTAATTCTGGTGGAATTTATATATGGTTTGTATTTGAGCTGTCTATGAATGAGCTTGCTGCATTTCTCAAAGTCAGCTTAAGGGAGGTGTTTGGGAGGTCAGGATTGGTTTCAAGGGTGAACAAAATGAAAGTTGATGCTGTGGCTGGAGACCTTGAGCAGGAGGATGCTGTTGCACTTGTATCCTGCTTGTGGGATTGCGTGGGCAGCTGGTTGCCGCTGTGTAAACAGAGTGCTGAACCAGACAGACCGCAGAACCAGTCCAGTGCGGCTCTTCTTATATTCTTAATGCCCAGCAACATCCTTGCACGTCGCTGTGGTTTTCAACCAGATACCTCTTCTAATGATTCTAATACCAACTCTTTTTTTTTATTATTTTACTGTAGCTGGACGTAAGTGTAACATCTTAAATAAAGAAGCCAAATTGTAAATGGTGAAGAGATATGGAATTTGCTTACATATGGCTGTCAACTGTGTAATCCTCTTTCAAATAGTCTCTTATTTCTTATCAATGGCATAATCCTCACTGACTCTTAATTTTGGATACAAACCTTTACTTTTTGTGGTGGGTCAGCTTCCTTTCCTTCAGTTTCATCAGCCATTGGATGCAATGAACCGCAGGAACATCTAGGTTTCAAATAAGCTGAGGGAGAAATAATGGGCTGCCCAGGTTGCAAAGAGTAGATTTGTGAGATACTAGAATCCATGTATCTCTGAAGACATAATGGGTCTCCAGAAATTGATACATTTCTCCCTAAGCAATTCTTATAAGGAAAATGCAGAAGGGAGGGAGAGGAGTGATTGTAGCTTTGTGACTTGCAACTCTGACTTTTAGCTACAACGAATGGTTTTAATTCCCACTTTAGGAACTACAGCCCCTAAAAATTTCATCCAAATGTTACAGGTATTTATTGGATACAGGAGGCAGAGATACTCTGATTTCTGAGTTATGACTTGGAGGGGGCCTGCAATGGCCTCTAAACTGAGCCAAATTGGGCTGTTTTCTAGATTGGAATCCCAATGCACACCTTTTATATTAACTAAATGCTGCTTTTAGAAGAAGCTATTTAAACAAAGATTTTAAAAAACCTGAGATTATTAGTAAAAAGTATGATAATTATGGAAAGTAGATGTACATGGTGTGAAAAGGCCTTCATTTCCCTTCCTAACATTCCTATGGTAGTGCAAGATTTGGAGAATAAGAAGGTCCCCCCACCCCCCAGTAGTGTCTTTCCTGAAGAAGCAGAATTGCCCTTTGATCCAGTGTATGAATTAGTCACATTTTTGAATCAGTGCAGCCAGCACATCTTTTTTTTAAATGGTAGGATGTCAGCAGGTTTGTGGCTGTAAATTGTCAATCTGTGCTTAATCTTATAAACCTATTTTATATCATAGTGGTTCATTATTAATACTAATTATGCCATAGACTGGAATCTGGGCTAGTATAAAAGGTGCTGTTTAGCTCTTGGCTTGAACTGAAGGCACTACTGTGCAGAAAGCTATTGAGTCACCTGATACATGGACTGTTTGCTAAAAGATTGTGAACAATTTGTGCTTTGTAAAGCATTTTGAGAGTACTTTGTGAGACCATTTGAAGCTCTTTTGGTTGTTAGGCCTGTTAGAAATGAGTCTCAGTTCTATAAACCACTTCACACTTGTTTATAAAATTAGCTTGAATATTTTGTATCTCGCTCAAGCAATGTGCAGTTTTCAAAAAGTTAATAGGATAAAGCCCTTCATTACATTTGCTTATAAAACGGAATATCAATTTATATCAAGCTCTTTGTTTTCCTGTGCAGAGGTGGTACATTCATGTGTTCTCTCTGTGTGTGTTTATGTGTGCAATGGTTTTAATGTCAACCACTAAATACCTATTTGGGTGGGAAAACAGGTTAAAGATAGACATTTGGTCTTTGCTTTGCCACTATGCTGAAATATTGTAGCAACAGAAATTTCAGAGTCTGTTTTCTAAGTTCATTTTGGAAATCCTCTCTCTCTCTCTCTTTGGCAAAGCAAAAATGTCTGCAATCCCCCCCCCCCCCCCCCCCCCCGCCATGCTGGGTACCTTTCTCTCTTAATCTGTGGCTTCTGCAGAGCCATTGTGGTTGTCTCAGAACATTGTTCGCTGTTGCTTGGCAATCTCTTTGCATAGAGCTTTTGTGCAATGGTATTTGAGCTGCACTGTTAAAAGTTCCACAATTATCATCCAGTATTAAAATCTGCTTAAGTCCTACTTAAAACACTTACTTTTAAAGTGTTTATTTTTAATATATTAGTTTGTCCTACAATTTGGGTTTTAAAGGCCTCTTGCAACTTACAAAAGCACACCGCTTCAGATATTAATTTAGTTACAGTTCTGAGTGCTGCTTGATGTCATTGTGGCTATAGGTGATACACTTATGCTTATGGAGATTGAAATGTACGTGTTACGGGCCATCGGGTTCTCTCTGACTTACGATGGAAAGCCCCGTCCATGACAACTGCATTCAGCTCTCCCAAGTTCAAGGCTGTGGCTTCCCTTATGGATTCAGTCCATCTTGTATTTGGTCTTCCTTTTTATCTTCTCTCTCCAGCTATCCCTAACACGATCATCTTCTCATGAGTCTTGCCATCTAATGATGTGTCTGAAGTAGGCCCGACATATCCTAATATATGTGCAGTTCCTGATCAGGACCACAGTGCAAAGGCTCTCTGTGCGGCACAATTGTTTTTCTTGTCTTTTAAGCAGGAAGCTAGCAATGATGATAGAAACTGCTCAGTATCCTCTGGATTCTTTGTGGCTTAACCCTTTCTGGTTGAGGTTTTTAGCTCCAGAACTCCATTTTTCGGGTCCTTCTTTCAGGTCCAGAAGACGTGGGTCGAGGACGCCATGATGTGTCCCACTGCTGATAAAAAGGGCAGCCCCGCTGGAGTGCTGTGTTCATGCATCCACTTTCAGCTCACGGGAAGCCACAGTGCACATCAAGAGACCTCCCCAGTTCTGTCTTGAAACAACCCTTCCACATGTTGCAGAGAATTCTGGAGGGTGTCCTGCGACAGAGGCACAGGAGTTCCTCAGCAGGCAAATCGGTGTGAAAAGGGTTCCATGAATTGCTTATATATATGTTGCATTGAATAGGTTACTATATTATTATTGCATTGGATTTGTATCTCACCTTTCTTCCTTTGCAAGGAACCCAAGGCAGCTTATAAGCTTATCCCCCTCTTCTTTTTAACTTGACAACAGCAGTCTTGTGAGGTAGGGTGGGCTGAGAAATCTGTGACTGACCCAAAGGCATCCAGTGGGTTTCACGGCTGAGGGGAAACCAGATCCCTGAGTCCCAGTCTGGCCCTCTTGACTGCTACACCAAATGGTTCTCTCACTGATGTTCATCTACAGATTATGAGCTTCTTCAAGAAATTACTCAAAAGTATCATGGTGATTTAAAGGTTTAGCTAAATTCATAACCCATCCATCATGAAGGCTTAGAGCAGATGTGTAAAAGATGAGTTGTGTTATATGGCCTAGCTCTTGGCCACAGAAAGCCAGCAGAAGCAGGAAACCTATTTGACGCTTCTGGAAGATATCTGGGCACCAGCAAGTCTCCAGGAAGCACTTCCAGAAATAGCATCAGTTACAGAGCATCCAATGTCTTGTCTGATGCAAATGATTGCTAGGCACCAATTCAGGAAACAAAAGCAAATATCTTGTGCTGCTCTTAATGTTTTGTGCAGCTCAGTCATTTGAAAACAATTGCTTATCATGTATTGTTTCAAAAACTAGTTTCCTTTGACATTCCTTGATTCAAGAAATTATTATTTTATAACTTTTTATAGAAATTTCCTGAATGTTCAGCAGTTCTCTAGTTTTATTTTAGAATGAGAGTCACCATTCTTCATTTATTGATAATTTTGAGGAAATTACTTGAAAAGCATTATTTACTACTGTAATAGCTTAAGTAGAGCTTTAATGACTAGTGGATGATTAAGAAAAATGATGCTAAAATACTGCCCCAATGGACAGTGCCGGATTGGGATTTCCAAAATGTCCCCTTCCTGGTGATTTTTCTGCACACCTCATCCTTTCTGGCCTTGGTGAACATGCTTCATCACATTACAACACCATGGGAAGCATCCTTTCGTCAACCCTAACCCTAAGCTGGGCATTATTCCTAACCCTAAAATATTGCCTCAGTGGACAGTGCCAGATTGGGATTTCCAAAATGTCCCTTTCCTGGTGAGTGGGAAATTCTTTTTTTTTCTTTTAGCACAGAGGACATTAATTTGGGTGGGGATGCTCAAATCTCATCACTACTTTTCAT